TGCTGCTGTTGTTGCATCTGAGGAAGTTGCTGCTGCTGCTGGAGTTGTTGCTGCTGTTGTTGCATCTGAGGAAGTTGCTGTTGCTGCATGTGAGGAAGTGGCTGCTGCTGTTGCAACTGGGGAAGATGCTGCTGTTGTGATTGCATCTGCTGATGCTGTTGCTGCATTTGTTGCTGCTGCTGGCTGGACAATTGTGGCTTAAAAACAACCATATCCTGCCAGCATTCAAGGCTTCAAGTAAATAGGCAAGGTATAACAGGCTCATAATTGTAATCGAGCCTCAATTAAATCAGCAACTAAATGTTACCCCGGGAAAAAGCATCCCAATCAAGCGGAAGGCTTTGTCAGAAACAGATAGTAGCAACGTCTGTGATGGTAATTGAATGACTGCACACTGAAAACAAACAACAAATTCAGCAACACAAAAAGATTCCTCCTGTAAGAAATGAAACCAATGGTCCACAGCCATAGGGTAATTCTTCATATACAATCATGGTATTTGATCTATGGAAATCAATCAAAATTATGTGATTTTATTTGTACATCAAATTATTAGGAATTGACATGATTAGATTCTGTTTTATTTCCATTTTTGTTTCTTTTAGACATAGCATTTATGGGAAAGGTTATTGCCTGATATTTTAAGGCCCAGATAATATGTACAGAATTAATCTCCTCTTCCTATTTATACTTCCCTATTGCATCAAAATATCAAAGAATTAAAAAATGTTCACTTTTCCGCATGGTATAATGCACAATCTGAACCTCAACTGTGTACTAAGTTTCTACCTATCTTGCGTGAATTCCAGGCTTTGGAATTGGAGGAGACGATTAGCATTGCTGAAGAATGTGGTAGACTACCTCATTTGGAGAAAAAAACTAACTCTATCCCGTAGCAAGTTTAGGGTAAAGACCCCAAAATGTAGCCATTCTATTCCAACCACACAGCAATGAACTGCGAAACTTCAATTCCAAAAATTTCAATCTTCTTTTTCGGTAAACCATCATAACAAAGTATCCTCCAAAGTAGAGGAACACATCTAACCATCTCCCAAGGAAATTATTTAGATTTAAATAAAAATAGTCTGAGATCTTTTTCAAACAGCTTAAACCTATAGGTTAAGTGACCTTTGACTGGTCTTAAGTCACATCACTACGAGACGAACATGAATGTAACACAACATAACATAATATTCCTTGAGTTACAAGTATTATTAATTCAAAATTGTTTGCCATTAAGTTGTTGAGTTAAAATGCTCATAGTACCAAACCTGAATTACATCCATCTTTCACAAGAACTTTAGAGAAGACATCGAGGGTAAGAGTTCAGGAAATAATTGAAATTGTGACTGAGTATGAACAGAATTTAGAAAAAGGGGGATTTGCTGGACTGGGAAAAAATAGAAACACCCAAAGATAACATACCAGCTTCTTTTCCTGCAGCTGAACAAGAAATCCATGTGGGTTCATTGCCCGAAAAACTAGGAAATCTGCCTTTCCTACATATTGTCTACAAGAAAACATTAAGGACCGATATTAATGAGTGGTTGTGCCTGTGCGCAATGGGGGATGAGTATGACAATAGTTGAAATAAGGAATTACTTGTTATTCATGTGGTCCTGAGATATAAGCCGAACTATTTGCATTACAGAGGGCCAATTTGCGGCAAGTCTGACATCAAAATCAATAACATGTGAGAAGATCAACAAATTAATGAAGTTAACAGAATATACGAAGCATTTCAATCAAATCATAACATCAAAATCAACTATTTGTTTGAATCTGTTTTAGCTGTCAAAATCTTTGTTTTTTATTAGTTGTATTTTTTCCTTATTTAGCAAATTATTATTATTGTGAATAATGGGTAAATCCGTGAATCAAAGGGATCCGGTTGTCTAGGAGTTCTTATTATGTTTCCTAAAATAGCTTTCTAGCCTTGTATATATGGATTGTATTCTCAACATAATAAAATATATGATTCTTCCCAAAATTATGAGATGGCATCAGAGTTCTCAATTTCTGGGAACCATCTCTGACACATCTTTAAACCCACAGGAAAAACTCTAGAAAGGGAGGATTTGAATAGAGTTTTTAAAAATTTTCGCAAATAAGTGTTTAAGTGCTTATGCAAGGGTTGGACAGTCTGAAATAAGTGTTAAACACTTAAGTATTTCTAAGAGCGTTTAGAAAAACTTTAAAAAACGAAAGCAATAAGGCAAACTTATTTTTATATGAGTTTTCTCCATACTACGTCCAGTTCTCTCTTAAGTACTTTTAAGGGGTTTTCATTAATCTTTGCAAAATATTACAATGAGTTTAACCACTCTTAGTAATCATAGTCTAACTGACTAGACCGTTAACTACATTGAGTTAAATAACCAAGTATTTTAATTCACTTCTGAATATCAAAACACAATAAAAAAGTGTTCTCTACAAAACAACAAAATTATAACTCTCATAAAGGATAATTTTCAATACAAGAAATCTAAATACTTGAATAAACTTTTTTTCAAACACAAATGCGTAGACGATGAAAGCTTAAGAGAGAATGACAACATAAATCCAAAGTATATCTTCTATCTTCTCTTCATGTAATCATCTTTATATAGCCTTCTTAAAAAAATATTTGTTACTCAAACATGCTCTTAGTTAGTAGCTTTTACTAAGTCGTTATGTATGATAAGGCTAAGAAAATCCAATCTCACTAGCTTGATATGAAACATAAGTTTGACTTTGATTGATAAAAAACAAACAAATAAAAGTATAATTATAGCTCATTACTAAGCATTTAAGCAAGATACTCTATTTACGTTTAAATGATTTCCATTTTTAAAATAATGTTGAACGTTTAGGATAAAGTTAATATGATTACAACGTTTAAACATCTTATATCCTAGACGGTTCATTTTAATTATGTTATTCCTTAAACATGAATTGGTTAAATTTCAAAACATAGTTGTAGACATCTAAAGTCTTAAAAATTAAATATCTTATCTTGACATATACATTGTTTATACATCTTAGCTAGGCTTTGGAAGTAAAACCTTATACTGAACTTACCCTTAATGTTTCCATGTTGCCTAATGTTATTAAAATTAGTTATTTGTTCCACCATTATTCTTGACTTGATCATCATGATTGAATACAAATGTTACTTCAAACATAGTTTGTGTGTCAAAGACTTAGTCATATACAATGACTCATGTTGGCACAATAGTTTTCACTTTAGCAACTTCTCTCGTTACCTTATCACCAAGACACTGAATTATGGTTTTGAACTTTTGATCATGTCAGTATTCTATGATATAAACGCTAGAATGTTTACCTCAACCTTTAGAACATCTACACAACCTTATTATATCAATGACCTCCATCTTAATTCTCCATACTCTGAATTCACTCTCCTTCAAAAACTTCTTGATATTAAACTTGGTAACCATGACTTAAACTTCTAGACTTTCTTTTTCTTTTCCTTGTTGGATTTTCAATGATAACAAGAAACAAAAAACACAAGATAAAATCGAAAGAAAGTTTTTATTTACATTAAAAGGTTTTATGACTTTCAACGAAAAATTCTTTTTTAGACAATATAATAGGACACAGACATTAACTAACTTCAACACTATTAGACAATCTCTAGTAAAGCAATATTGTATTCCTTCTATCAAACAATTTAAATCATCTAATTGAGTCCAAATCATGATTTAAAGTCAATAATCACAACCATGTTTGAAATATCTACTAATACTAGTCAATCTTTTTCATCAAATTTTTGGATTCTCTTTTGTGGATGTTCTTGTAGAATAAATCACACTACACAAGGAGATTATGTCGTTACTCTCAAATGCAAACAATAATAAGAACCAACATCGGAGATAGTTTAAGTTCAAATGTATAGGGTAGCAGAAATGGTGGTCAAGTTTCCCCATAGTAAAAACAATAAATCTACAGTAACTTTACCTGCAGGAATACCTAATAGACGTTTAGGTATACATGACAAGAAACAGAAACGGCATCGTTTACAAGTTTTTCATATTT